GAGCTTAGATGTTAACATGTACTGTTTAACCATGACATTTAAATGTAACAGGGTAAAACCCAGTGCATTTAACATAATGCTGCACTTTAGAAAATGGGTTGAAATATAACATGTTGGTGGAGCTGGGTTCCCACTATCGGCTTGTGGAGCTCTCGGGAGACCGATGTTTTCCACCCGTTCTCCCCTCCCCGCAGCTCGGCGCATCTCTGTCTGATCGCAGCTTCTGTCTGCTGTGCGGCTGCTGGCTTGTGGAGCTCTCGGAGACCTCTGTGTTCCACCCGGTTCTCCCCAGCGGTCAGCCCGGCGTATCTCCGACTCAGAAGCTCTGGTGTTGTGCACAGTTAACTCCGGCTGTAGCTAGGTTGCTACCTCCGTTAGCTTTGGGTTAGCTTCAGGTTAGCTTGTAGCTAGTTCGACCGGGCGTCATCATTTGATCCCAGCCTTACAGCCCCACCCTCAGCTCCTCCTCTCTCTGGAGCAGAAAAATCAGGAAGTCCGAAGTAGAAAACGACCCACTGGATTAAAGAAAACAAAGATGAAATAAAAGTCTAAAGATTGCGGGAATAACAGGAGTTTGACATCACACTCATAGAAGATGTCTCAATAACCTTAAAATGTCAACTAAGAATGTGAAAAAAACTACGAAAGATGGCAAAGCACCATTTTGGCTCTAAAGAGGATTCCACCAGTATTTTATGTGGCCCTCATTAGTACTTTTTACTAATCGCGTCTTCTCTGTGATGTATGCTAATTCTTGATCAAATCATGTTTTTATTTCTTTTGTACAAAGATGAGTGAAGAGTGAATCAACAATTCGGACAGAAAGGAGCGAATAGCAGTGAGGGTGCGTCAGAGCTCATGCATTAGCACAATGCAGATTAATTACGGGAACGCTGCACTGTTTCACAACGTCTTTAGAAGCAGGAAAAAAAAGTTACTCATGAAAGAAACGAGTCACCCGTATTGTAGTCCATCCTCTCAGCTCACCCCGAAAGAAACCATTTAACAGTGCCGAGTGCACACTAAATATCTCTAATTAACAGGTCTACTTTCAGGATAATTATAATAACTAAAACCACTCTAAATGACCTGCAGTGATTAATAATTATTGTGTCCGACCACTGCTGTAATTATGCAATCAAGGGCCCAGTCAGAAGAGGATGAGAGACTCTGGTATCGTTTCATTAACAGCCGATATCTGACAGACTCTTTGATGAGCACTGATCTCCGTCTGCTCGGTGGGGGAGGAAACCGAAGCACAGGCCCCACAGACTGCTTTGAACTCTTTTCTGGCATCATTAGCACACTATGACAGTGATTAGGAAAGAGAAGGCCACTACGACAATATTCACACAGAAAAACAGGACAAGAAGTTCAGGACGACTGCACAGCTCATACGTACCGTGGCCCCGAGTGACAAATCTGACCTCTTTAGTCAACAGACAGTGATTAAATGTACTGACACCCCCGATGCTTTCAAGGAAACCAAACCAGATGCATTGCTAGTTCTTGGTTTGTAGACAGACTTTATCATTAGTGTGTCCTACTATGCCATGGTGCAGGGGTGTAAGAAATACTACCGAAGAAGCATGTACGACAAAGGTAGACTACAACAGCAGTTCACGATAGTGAAATGGACCGCGATGAACTTCATCAGAGGATGCGGATGCAGAGGTTTTAGATTTGTTTGGGGAATATGTTCATTTTCTGATACAGGCCCAGTTCACAGGGCAAGAAAATCATTCAGACTTTTGGCCGATTCTTCTCTTCAGACAACCGATGGATGTTAAAAAGAGCAAAAAGATGTTGAACTCAGTCAGTTCTACAGATATTCAGCAACATTTTGGTCTGATGGTAGCTGAGAATCAGCAAAGTCTACAAAGAGAAATGTCATTTTATCCTAAAACACCCCATAATACACTTACTATCACAAGCTGTTGCGTTTGGCTTTAAACGGATGTGCGTGCCTTACGTGGCTGTTCCCACACAGAGTGTGGTACACAACAGTTAGCCACCGTTATAGTGGATGGGTGCATTTCCACCAAAGTCTTGGACACGTATTAGAAGCGTAGGGACAAGTCGCTCCACTACATTTATTTTTCTAGTGCTTAGCTTCCAGAAGGGGTCAAGCTCAGCAGTTCAGACTGGGCCAGACAGGAAGTCAGACATGAAAGCGGCGTAAACATTCGGAAACTTTCATAATAAAAGCCCCGTGCTGATGTCCCGTTGCTTAACTAGTAAAAAGAGAATGCCACTTCCTGTGAAACCCCCATAGTCCACGTAAATAGACCACAGATCTTTTTGGATACACACTACCATCTTTCTTCTTGCTTGTTAATGCATGAATTGCCAAAATCCTGTGTGGTCCTGCAATTCTCTGGCCAGTTCATGCCCTTGCAGGACAAGCTCCGTGGAATGCGCTCGCCTTTGTTTCACGTCTGACACCCTCTTGGTTAGGACGGCAGCTCGCGGGTAAAACACGTCTACCTAGGGAAAGCTGCACTGAAGCTAAAGAATCAGCTGAAAGGAGTTCATCTACAGGCCTTCTCTTTCAACACTACAGAAAAACCTGAATTTCATATTAAATCACTGACTATCTCAGTGAAAGATCAATCATAGACTGTAGAAAATTTGGCTGTTTGTCAACAATATTTATTTAGTGTTAGGTAATTAACCACGCAGACAAACAGCTGATCTCTGGTTATGTTGACTTCCATCAATAGTGCCTAACAGGCCTGGCGAATCTGAATGGAGTCCAGAGACGTATAAACAAATATGACATTTTCTAATTGGTGCATGTGGAGAACTCATCAGCTGTGGCTGGATTGATCTGAGGTCTCCAGTGCAACCCTGCGTGAGCTGTGAGCTGAGGGAAGGATCTGGGAAGGCTATCTGACTGACCCCACGGCACTGCAGTAATGCATCCGACTCTGGATCAGAGGGGCTGTGTGTTCAGGTCACATCAGGGTCAGCCAGGCTCCCTACGTGAGCCGACTCTCCACTCAACAGTGGCGCTGCAGTGGGACTCAACAGCTGATCCTCAATCACGACTGAAAACAATAAACGCAGACTACTGTGAATATAAGCGTGTAACCAATTTAAATTTGGATTTTAAAGTTACGCCCCTAAACTTGTCATTTACTCACACTGGAATTACATGGAAATGACCACCGACTAGGATGCTGCATGCTTGAAAACACAGTAAACAAAAGGGAAATGTTATAAAACTCCTATGCAGTCGACTGTGGGGGTGGGGCGGCCATTATGGATTCCTGCTTTGTGGATGAAGGTAAGATTTCAGCTCGGCGGTCTCAGATGACTAAATCTAGCATTCTGCAAAAGGAACCCGGGCTGTAGGGAGCTTACTTAGGCTATCTGCTACTAGTTGGTAAAAAATAACCGCAAAAAACGTTCACTTTGGCGCGTGTCAAGACAGCAAATACAATTAGCATAAATGCATTTCTAGTTATTTCACTTGTTTTACTTTATTTACAATAGACTGTCCTTTTATTTTAGTTGCTGCTCTCAGCATGTCTGATGGTTTAATCCCTTAAAGGGGCCGTAATCATAGAAACTCCACTTTTGGAGCTTTATTGATATTGTAATTTTCTCATGAACCCATTTTTGGCTGCAATTTCCTGTTTCAGTTACAAATTTAATGTTTTACTTTGAAAATCTTGTAGAGCGTCAATGGAAACTAATCTCGTCATCAGACCCTGCTCCTCTCCCAGAATCTAGTCTATGGTCTGAAACCTGTCTCCGTTGGCCAGCACAGGCTTAGGCGATGGTTGCCACTTAACAGACGTGGGAGTCCAGAGGTCGCAGTACCAGGCTGGTGTGCACCATAGCGCAGTTTCGCATGACCAAGTTGAAAATAATCACTAAAACTAAAATATAAAAACATGAAATCTGCCTCAGCTGGCTAAATAAATTAGTGCAGACACCACCGGGACTCCAACCCACAGGCAGACACCTTAACCACTGGACTACCATAGGTAATACAGTAACCAACTTGCCTTGGACAACTTGTAGGAGCGGGTGAGGGCAGAGTTTCACTGAAATGAAGGGTTTATTTCCAGGTATAAATTCAGGCTGATGAAAATAACTTGTATTTAAGATAAACGACATCTCAGTAGTGTCAACGGTAACATTTTATCATAAACTGTGCCTACCTGTGTTCTCAGAAATGTTTAAATTAGCCATAATATGGAACCTTTAACCATTTTGGGATCCCCTCGCTCCATGCAGCACTTTCTTATTGGCCAAACGCCACCGTCAACAGGCAGCACACTCGTTTGTTCTCAATATCCAAGACAAACAATACCCCCGATTTATGACTGAGGCGGTTTCTACGTCTTTCCGAGAAGACCCGAACACTCTTAACACACCACACACAGTAGGACTATCTGATGAGATTATGTTCAGAGAGTCATTACGATAACTGAGCACTCTAAGATTGTTGGAAGGGAAGCACCAGGTTAAAGATCAGCATAATGGTGCTGCCACGTGAACTGTACCTAAACTGAGGCGTTCCACATCCCCACGAGGACTCGTGAATATTCTGAGTGAAGACTTGTTGAGGAAAGACTTTGCACATGTTTAAATTTTTAGTGAAAAGAGACAAAGGAGAATTCGAGGAAATATGTCGAGATATTTTTTAAATTTCTTTGCAGATGACATTTGTAAATGACCACTAACAGTCAGAGCCAAGTGAGAAGCTGCGTTTCCTCGGAGTGTAAGACTCCAGCTTCTCAAGAACAAGAAGAATTTTATATCAGCTTCTTGTTCTGAGAAAAGCGCATCAATCAGTATTTAAAACCACCAGAAAAAACAATGTTACATAAGAAACAGAAGCAGACAAAAATTGAGATATCTGGGAGGATGCTTTCGGACACATTGAGAATTAATTCCAGTTTGCTACGAAGGACCGAGTCATTTTAAATAAGTTAACGTGTTAACTGAAGAACCAGAGTAATTGTGTAATAAGTGAGGGGCCTGACCTGTTGTTCAGCTTCTTCCTCGTCGCTGCTGATCTTCAGGTCATCTTCCAGCATTCTGCATGGACAGAAACATGTTACTGAGGACAGGAACCTCCATCTGAGTGTCTCATGAAACCTGCACCTCAACTAGATCAAACCTGCAAAAAAACTGTGACTCTGGTGCAAAGTTGACTTTAAATCAGTCACAAAGTCTTTAATTAAGGACGAATACACTTGTAATTTACTCTCAATTCATTTGCATATTCACACACACACACACACACACACACACACACACACACACACACACACACACACACACACACACACACACACACACTAGATCTACAAGTTTGTGCATTCTGACACGTAAGGACCTCCAAACCCAACTAATCTCATACTACGTGACTTTGTGGACCGGGTCACTCAGAGATGAGTTTTAATCTGCATTAAGAAATAAAAAGTCGCCGGCCCTGCTTTTAAAAGGGCTTGAGACAAACGGAGCGGGCCAACAGAACTAAATCAGGAAAACATCCAAGGCCCACTGCTCGTGAAAGTCGGGCATCTTCTTCACAGCACGGTTTAATCCGAACATTTTGGTTCACAGTAAAAAGCAGTGATGGTGGATCACGTTGAGGAAGGAGAAACTTGGTCATTCACTGGAATTGTTTGTTCACCTGGAAACTTTCTGTCAGGCAGCTGCTGACCTGCAGCCAGAAATTCTTTTGGAACAACGAAGTCCTGCGGGGCTGAGAGCGGAGCCTCATCTGGATAGATCTCAGACGATTTAAATGGTGTCTAATTACCAAAATGCTGGATGTTGCCCTGTTTCTTCTCTGGTTTGTATTTAACTCTCCCCGCGACGAGACCAGAAACATCCTAGTTCAATAACAACCTCCCTCCCAGCATCAACTGCTCCTTCCCCAAACTAATTAATCAGTATTCATGTTCGAGGGCGAGCTGCTGCTTCCATGCTTTATATGAACTCTCCACACAAACTACTTTTAGTTTGAGCTGGCACTGCTGTTGTTATGACAGGAGAGTCCCCTGAGGGGTTTTTACTGCCTCACGAACTGCTCTCGTCAGTGCTCGCGCTGCTAAAAAAAAACCCAAAACGACCCCCCACCCTTGGTGCTCTCAGACCGGGCCACCGCACGACTCCTCAACAGCACAATGAGCAAAATGTGAGCCGGCACGAGGAGACTGTGGGGCTCGCAGCAGTGATAGATACGTTTGAAAGAATGAATAATGGATTCGTGTTTTATTTCATAAGGAAGGACAGATGGAGAGAGGGAGATAGCAACCAAGATTGAGATGATAATGACGAAGAAGTGAGGAGAAATGAGAGGCGTGCAGACGAGTGAGCTGGAGAGAGGAAGAGGAGCGTGGCAGGCACATGAATAAAAATGCGGTGAGGGAAGAAGCACCTGTGGGGACAGACATGAGTTATGGACCGAAGCATAAAACACACGAGGAACTTAGGAAGCTCCAAACACATCTAAATATCTACAGCAGGGGTGTCAAACATGCGGCCCGTGGGCCGAATCCGGCCCGCAAACAGGTTAAGTCCAGCCTGCGAGATGGTTGTGTAAACTTTATTTTCATACTTTACAATGTAGAGTGAAAATAAACGTATCTTTGTGAGCAAGTTTCTCTGTAATGAGTATAAATAAAACAAAGCTGCGCTCAAGGCTCACACAAGAACTTGAATCCCATCCTGAAGTTGGCCGCCACTCAGGATGTGACTTCTGATGTTGATGTGCTGGTGAAAGCTAAAAGATGTAGAGTAAAATGAGTCAAATATACTTTAAGTGCTGCATGAAACTGATCTAGCCATGTGATCTGTAAGCTCTTTGAATCACTAAGGAATGTTTATTTATTTATTGATTTTATTTTATTTTTTCAAAATTTCAAGTTCACTTCAGGTGTTGTACTTGTACTACACTGTCCTCAGGCTCCAGCCTTGTTTTATATTGATTGTATTAAAACAAAGAAAACAATCTGAAGTTTTTTTTTATTTACCGGTCCGGCCCACTTGGGACTAGATTTCCCTCCATGTGGCCCCTGAGCTAAAATGAGTTTGACACCCCTGGTCTACAGGAAGTCTCCCTCAGTAGTAGCAGTTCACAAAGACTAATCAAACCGGTGCTTTCAGAGGTACAGCCTCATAGTAACGGTTAATAATGTGTTAATAATTAGTCTGTTAACACTTTATAAACCACTAATACTGATTATGCACACGTTAGGGCTGAGAAACAGACTAACGTTCTTTTTAAATGTTTCTCGCCAGATAGCAGAGGTGAACTCGGGTCACATGACTTGGACTCGAGTCATTATTTTGATGACTTCTGAATGGCCTTGATAAAATCTATAAAGACTTACGACTTGACTCTGACTTTAACTCCAATGACTTACGCCTTGAATCAACTTGCATCTGTTGACTTGATGACTTGAGCATATTTGATATTTTAGCACAAAAGTGGCGCGACGTGGACAAAAATCATAAATCATCCTTGGTTGTGGGCGTGATCTTGTACGGCTAACTGCAGCAGCTCTTCGTTTATAATCAGTCTCAGTTTCTGCTTGTTTGAGCAAATAAATGAAGTTTTAAGAAGCTTTTATTCTGGAATTTATTTATTATCATCGTCATTAAACTGAAGTTGGACAAATGACTTGACTATGACTTGAAAATTCAAGGTTAAAGACTTGGACTTGACTTGGACTTCCACATCATTGACTTTGGACTCGAGACTTGGTTGTCTTTGACTTGGACTTGACTCGAGACTTGGTTGTCTTTGACTTGGACTTGACTCGAGACTTGGTTGTCTTTGACTTGGACTTGACTCGAGACTTGACTGGAAAGACTTGTGACTTGCAAAGCAGTGACTTGGTCACACCTCTGCCAAATAGTGACCTAAATCTGTTCAAGTCACTATTAATGTGTTTATGATCAACAAACATTTGTAACAGCAAGACCGAGCCACACTATAAATACTATATGACACAAACTGTTATTTAGCTTTTTTACACACGTCAAGAATCCTTTTAAAGTTGTGAAACACACACAGAATAAATACATCTGTAGAGGTCTGTAGTAGGAATGAATGCCTTGTAAGTCGTACTCTGGTGAAAAAACAACAGTGCACCATTTTCAGGTACTAGAAGTGAGCCACGTCACAGCTGAGCATCAGACGGCAGGATCTGGAGTCTTATTTCCTGATATTTGGACATCTCGCCCCAGATTGGATAACAGCAACGCGACTCTGCCACTGACTTGCAGCGTGGGTGTTCTTTCGCCACAAGTAACACAAACCTGAAGGAGTTCTGCTGTGTGGTACAGCAGCTAATGGTAACAACTAGCTCCTACTAGCTGAGGTGCTCTCTGCTGATTCCTGGACGCCAAACCAACAACAACCTACGCCGTCCCGAGTCATGATGGGTGAGTCCATGAATGTTAAGTAATAGTGTGACGTAGATCTGTCAGGCTTTTCTAATCCTAGAGTTTCACCGTCTAGTGCTGTTAACTCTTCTCTTATTCTATTGTTTTTGGTAAGAATTTTTATCCTTGATTATTTATGCTATGGTTTTATGTATTTTACCTGCTTTCATTGTGTTTTGTTGATTTGTTCGAGCGTTTGGCTCTTTTATGTACAGCACTTTGGTTAGCTGCCATGCTAGTTTGAAATGGTGCTATATAAATAAATCGGTATGGTAAATGCTAATGCAGGAGATAGGTGTAGGAGACTATTCTCATGTTCAGCCTGCATGAAAAACTCAGAGTGACTAATTAGAATCAGAAATAAGATTTTAAAATGGTTTTCAGTGTTCCACACCTTTACCACTGACTAAAACTAAACAGCTTTCGCTGGAGCGGTTCGCAGCCGAGTGTGAAGCAGCTGGGATGAGAATCAGCTCCTCTAAATCTGAGACCATGGTCTTGAGTCAGAAAAGGGTAGAATTCCTTCTCCGGGTCAGGGATGAGGTCCTGCCCCAAGTGGAGGAGTTTAAGTATATCAGGGTCTTGTTCACGAGTGAGGGAAAACTGGAGCGTGAGATGGATAGGTGGATTGGTGCTGCATCTGCAGTGATGCGGCGTTGTACCGGTCTGTCGTGGTGCAGAGAGAGCTGAGTCAGAAGGCGAAGCTCTCGATTTACCGGTCGATCTACGTTCCTACCCTCACCTATGGTCATGAGCTTTGGGTAGTGACCGAAAGAACGAGATCGCGGATACAAGCGGCCGAAATGAGTTTCTCCACAGGGTGGCTGGGCTCTCCCTTAGAGATAGGGTGGGAAGCTCGATCATCCGGGAGGGGCTCGGAGTAGACCCACTGCTCTTCCATGAGAGGAGCCAGTTGAGGTGACTGGGGCATCTGGTCAGGATGCCTCCTGGACGCCTCCCTGGTGAGGTTTTCTGGGCACGTCCAACTGGCAGGAGACCCAAGGGTAGACCCAGGACACGCTGGAGAGACTATGCCTCTCACCTGGCCAGGGAACGCCTTGGGATTCCCCCGGAGGACCTGGGCCAAGTGGCTGGGGAGAGGGAAGTCTAGGTGTCTCGGCTTAGGCTACTGCCCCCGCGACCCGACTCCGCATAAGCGGCTGAAAATGGATGGATGGATAAAACTAAACAGTCATTTCAAAATAATTGGCTACATAAATAAACAGTGTCGTGTTTTACATTCACAGCAAGGTGTCGTTTGACAGTTGTGGACAGTTATAACGCAGTGATGAAATACAACGGCAGATGCTAAGAAGTTATGTTTCCAAACACTCTGCGTTCCTACGAGGTTGTAACCGAGTCTGAAGTGAGTGATGGAGCAACTCTAGATGATTTTCTAAAGCTTCACAAAACATGAAACCGATGTTTTAAACAGAGAAAACACGAAAGTGTTTCATATTGTATTTGTATAAAACAGACATGACAAGTGTTTCTGGAGCTTTTACTGTTTTTCTTCACTGGAGTCTCGCTGCTATGAGTCACCTCAAGGATTTGTGGACAGAAGCAGCAGTTTTTAGCTCAGCTCCTCTTAAAGTCAGAGTAAAGCTGTGCATTCAGTCAGATTTGTATTGTAATTT